TTATATTCCACCAAGAAGTGTGGCCCCTCTGCCCTTCCGGAATGCCCATCCTGAGTCCTGAATGAGAGCTCACGTTGGAGAAAACCACCTCGAATTGGCCAAATTCTGCCCTAAGACTGAGCACAGCTTTCCAATTCCCTGTGTCTGGCTGAGGGCAGAATGGGGCCAGGACCCAGTGTGTTTGATCCTTTAGCAAATGTGACAGGCTGTTTACAAACATGCAGAAGGGCTGACTTCGTTCCTCAGACCTCAGGCAGGACTCTGGTTTCAGGACTGCAGCCTGAAGGAACTCATAGGGACCAAAAGAATTGGGGAGGAGATAAAATAGTTGAAAAAAGTGGCTGGTTTTCAAAGCATATGGCGAGTTTTTCAAACGCTTTAAATTCTTAATTCGCTCCTCTCCTGTTACTGTCGCTGTAGTAGCCAATGGCACTTCTTTTTGTTTTGACATTTGACATTATTTTACGCCTTTGCTCCTCCTTTCACTTCACACAAGGGCATTTTAATTTTAAAAGAAAAGTGCATCCGGAACCAGTCCTACGGCTTTCCGACTAGCTGTCTGGCGTCCAGTCAGGCTCAACAGATGTTTGTTGAATGAATAAACGAATGAATGAAGTGATTCTCTCTAAAAAGTACCGAGAAATCTTTACTTTTAGCAAAGTTTGGGTTTGTCTTCTGTAAACTCGGGATTATCACTTAAAATATCCTCTGTGGATTTGATAGGAAAATAGGCAAAGTTAGGATCTTTTGAAGAAACTCCACCAAAAAGCTATCTGAAATGGAATGTTCATTTTTCTCTTGATTCTAAAACCGTGCTTGAATAACGAGGGCAATTCCACTCAATGACTGAAAAGCAAGGGGACCCGGATCCTCCGCTGGTCCCCCGGCCAGGGATCGGCTCCGAGCAGGACAGGCTAAGGGCGCCGGGCTCCGGTCAGGGAAACCAGGACCCGCGAGATGCGCCTGGAGCTGGCAGGTCCCCCAGGGCCTCGTCCCGGCGCCTGGCCGCGGCGCCGACTTCGGAGGAAGACACAGGGGCCGGCCGGTCCCCAGGGCGGGCGCGAGGGCCCCGCGCAGGTGTCGGGCCTGTGCGCGGGGCCTGGGAGACCCGAGAGAGACGTTATTGTTACACTGTAACGAGTCTGATTAACATGCTCCTGACACTTTCTCTTAGTTTCTCGGGCTCCTAGCAACAGCGCACAAAGGCGCGGGATTGTCCCGGGCTCCGCGGGGACACGGGGCAGCCTTTGATCTGCCACCATTACAGCGGGGCTGCGCGACAAGCTCGCAGGCTCCGGGCGGCCCGCGGTCCCGGCCCACTGCGCGCCCCGGCCCCGCCCGCTCGCCCGCCCGGTCGCAGCTCCGGGAGCGGCCGCCGCGCGCGACCGGGGCCACGGGGCGCACCGGCCGGGCCCCGCCGGTCTCCGCGTCGGGGCGTCCCCGACCCCAGCGGACTCGGCGTGTCCCGGCCCGGCGGGCGCACGTCCTTCCGACGGGGCGCGCTGTCCCCGAGATCGCCGGCCCTCCCCGTCGCAAGAAGCAAACAGTAAAACCGAGCGGGTCGCTTACAGCCGAAGAACACAGAAATTTTAAAAGGGCAGGCGTGAGCGACAAACGAATCCCAAAAGATTTTGTAAAACATTTTAAAAAGTAAAAAATATCTGTAGGCTTCAGCCCGTTTAGCTGAAACTGGGCTCGATCGGCAGCAAACCATCTAAAGGCGCTAAAGATGATTTCGGTTCCTTCCTACAAATCACTTTCTTTTCGTCGTTGGCAATTCTTATAGATTCATAAGGAAATACGTTGCCAAATAATCGCTGGAATTTAAACAAACTCACCACCACCACCCGTCACAGAACACTAAAAAGCTGCCCGGTCCCACCGCGCAAGCTTTCTGGTACTAAGGTATTTGAAAGTAATTTATTCTCCATTTGTTTACTCTCTTAACCCCCTATCCCACCCCGATTTAAAATAAAGCGCGGAAAGAAAGACCAAGGTTTTAACATTTAAGTGTTGAGGTCGGCTGATTACTTTCCCCCTAAGTTGCAATGTGAAAACCTGCGGGGGTGGGGGGGAGGGTCTCAGGGCTGGGAGGACAGTGTCCCCCAGCCTGGGGCACAAGCTTTGCGGTTACAAACCGGTTCGGTGACCCTCCGCAGCATCAATATGCACGAGATCCTGCTGTTAATCTCAGAACCTGTTTTGTACCATCAACTGCCTCCCAAGTATTATACTAGAGGTAAAAATCAAAATCAGAACGGAAGACACTTAGCTTTCCAAGCTAACCAGAAACCATAGAAGCAGAACGCCCTTCAAATAAAAAAGCACGTATTAACTCTTCTCCTCTTAAGACATCATTAGAAAATTCATCGTCCCTACTGAAGGTCAGTTTCCCGAACTGCCGAAGAACTATTAGGGGCTGGGATGTTCATCATAATATTTTAGAAGAGAAAAAAAAAAGAAAAAAAAAAACCCTACACGGTCTATTCCATTTACGCAGCAAAATATGCCAGGCAATGAGTTACTTTCAAATTCAAATTGGAGGCGGCAAGTCTTCGTTGTTGAAGACACTTTTCCCAGTCAGTCCCTGGAGGAGAGGATGTCAGGGCAGTTAGCGGTTCAATACTTGTAAATCTGAAGGGAACCGCACCCAGATGCTGGGGAACTTCCCAACTTGCGCTCAGGGACAGTGCCTGACTCCGGACTCTGCTGGAGTTCCTCTCGCCATTTCAATAAAACATGATGGTACTGATATAATCCTCTATACATTAAAATGAGGTTGTCACAGATTGTCATTAAGACCTCAGTAAAACAATGAAGACATTACTGGGAACCCCCCCTCAGGCAAGGTATTAGGGAATAAAACAATCTACACCACTCGGGTCCTATTGAGATTAATGAAAAAATTATGCCAAAAAAATCTCAGTTTCATTTTCCCGTGACGGGGCTTTGCATACATACAGTCAGTCTTGCCTTACACCTGATGATTTATTAAACTAATCTGCAGTGATCACCACTGATGTTCTCAACTCAATCTTGTCCTGGCTCATTTTCTAAGTAATTGTTTCTCATCAGTTCTGATAATGTTTTAATAGTGTTACCCATAATTTAGCCCCCAAGAATTAATAACAGGGGGGTAATATGGTGAAGCAGCTTGTGATGAGCTACACAAAATATAAACAGGTATGGTTTTTAATTAATCAGATTACTGCAAGGTTCTCTTCTTGCAGTCAGTCCATTCCTAGCTGGGAGGAATTCCCCAGGTTGGGCACTGTCACATACCGAGTGGGGTGAGCTCACCCAGCCCTCCCTCCCACCCTCTCTGTATTACCTTCACCCACCCGAGGCACCAGAGAGATGTGGGTGGGAAAACAGTGGGGATACCTCTTGTCTCCCAACATCTCCTTGCCTTTGTTCCTCAAGGAATGAAGCATGATGGATCTCTGACTCTGACTAAACCCTCTTCTGGGTCCCTCTTGTAGGGTCTGTGCTCAGAGAGTGGGACCTTTGTCCAGATTTTTGGCTCTAGTGTGTCCCAGTGTCATGATCCTATCATAATTGGGACCCTGGGGTTATGAGGAAGATGATAAATCTGACACTCAGGGAGACTTAAACAACAAGGTGCTTTTGTTGGAACAAAGTGTGGTTTGAGATAAAGGGCGTGGTGACCAGTCCAACATGGTTGGAAATCTAGGAACCTGTGGGCCCGTTGGTGATGGGGGTGGGGAACACCTAGTCAGGTCCAGGCCCTCAGGGCCCCCTGGAGACCTTGCTGAGAGGATTGCTCTTCCCCGAGGTCTGCATGCCTTCACCCTGGCATCTGGGGTCCCTTAGAGTGGAGGGTTTGGCTCTCAGTGAGCCCCAGGCTCGAGGAGGTCCATCTATAGGGTTTGGGGGTTGCCTGTGTAACAGGGGTGGAGACTAGAGCGTCTCCCTTTCTTCCTGTCAAAGCCTGAGGTGGGGTTATCTGGACCAACACATGAGGACGGGCAGGACAGCGGAGTTGAAGTGGAGGCTGCCTGTAGGGAAGTACGAAGAAAGGCTCTTATTATCGTCTTTTGTTTAAGACAGGTCCTGCCTATGCTTCCAACACCCTGAGGGTGTCAAAATGAGAGGAGGCTTCCCTCTGCCTTCTGAGCGGTCCTCCTGTGTTTGTGTGCTGAGCAGTGGGGTCCGGCTGCGTGGGCACCTATGGTCCTGGTCTACCCTGTGCACACCGACTACCACCCTAGGCGGGCACAGCTGCGCCGTGGGTTGCAGGGATGGCTTCTCCTGTAACTGCTGCCCACTGTCACTGTCCGCAGCCCTGAAGCCCAGTTTGGCTGGAGGCCAGTCATCTCCCAAGTTGGCTGAGACACTGTCTTCCTCCTTCCAGCTCCTCCGAGTGAGGACGAGGCAGGCTCCCACCTTTCTTTCCAGCTACGACCCACGCTCTCGAGGGGTTGGGGGGTGCGATGCCCTGGGGAGGCAGGGCTCCAGCGCAGCACATCCCACGTCAGTTAAGAGCCGCCTTGTCGGGCCCCGTGTTTGAGAATGTTAGTTAGTGTCTCAGAGCATGTGTTTCCCAGAACTGCCCAGCCTGGATCAGGTTCCTCTGCATGCCTGTCGGAACTGCCCTGCACTGGAGGTGGATGTTGTATGACCATACGTGGGCCTCTCCCACTTTGCTTTGGTTCCATGATGCCTTTCCTTGTATATAACCTTCAGCCCTCCTCCCCTCTTGGGCTTCCTGGAGGAACTGGAAGGGGTAGGGGAAAGTAGACCCCTGGGTGGGGCACATGGTAGGGGCCACATAGGAAATAAACTAAAAGGGCGTAGGAGGTAAAAAATGAAAATAAAAAACAACTGTTTTCTATTTACAAATTTAAATAAACAGAACAGCCTTCCCCGCGGTGTTTGTCTAAGGGTAGCAGCTTTGCTGCTGTGTAGGTCATGAAAAGGTTGGTGTAGAGTTTAGAACTTCCCATTCTGTTAATTTCTTAAAGAACAGTCGTCCAGAGTCTCCACACAAAAGCTCATGATTTAATGAGGAGCAGAAACAAAATCTCTGATTGTTGGTGTTTCAAATTTCATTGGCGTCCTCTGGCAAACACAAGTTGATCCTTCGCAGCTTCAATACCCTTTAGCCTTCAATATAAGAGCACATGCTGAATAGGGAAGAATGGCTGGTTGTTATGTTTATTTACCCTTACTACAAGCTGGGTTAACCTCTTCAAAACAGCTTTACTAAGCCCGTTAACCACACCACCCATATGACCTGTAGCAGCATCTCTAATGTGATGCAAATCTCACAGGGGACCATATGCACCAGCTCTGTGGCATTGTGTCTTCTTAGAGGCTACAAGTTTATTGCTGAGGGGGCCCTGTCCCAGCCATACATTTACAGGGGGGAAATGGCCTCAATGGCAAACAGTTAAACAGGGAAATAAAGGGAGAGAATGGATGGTCTTGTGCTTCTGCACATTTATTTTTTAATTGCTGGTAACTGTTGACCCAAAGCATTCACCCAGGATGAGGGCTTTCATAGTGATCACCTAGCAGTTCAAGGATAGGGATATTTCATTTTTGGGGGTGGTGGGGTGGTGGAGGTTAAAGTAATCAGTTTTGAAGATTTATTTTTAGAAGATATCTATATAAACCAGTATGGTACTTAATCAACTTTTCTATGCCATCTCTGTTGTTTTATCAGATTACTAGTGAAATAAACACCAACGCTTCATTGAGTTATTATTTTTTAAAAGGTTGGCCTTTCTTAAAACTATTTCTGGTGTCGAGTGAACAATGCACAATGTGGGAAACATCTAACATGAGCAGGGTGAAGGGAGTATACGCATTTGGGAAAGATCTGTTTCATTAAAGACCAAACTTCTCCTGGAACAGCCCATCTCTCTCCACTATTTTATCTCCCTGCGAAATCATAAGTCTGTACTTGTAACACATTCATGAACAATAAAATCACAAGCTTGGAATCAAAAAGAAGAAAGTTCATTTTTAGAGGAATAACTGGCCAGTGAGATAACCAAAAAAAAAAAAAAAAAAAAAAATGTCATTAACATGAACTGTAAATGAAGAAAGGCTCCCATCTGGCATACTAACAAGTTGCCTTGAGTATTATGGCTTGTCTTTAAGGAACCCACTGTATATGTTCAGCCCACCTGATGAGAGCTTCATTTAGCAGATCATTTTTCCTTGATGGAGATGGCAAGCCTAACAATGTTCTGGGCCTGCTTCAGTAATGGCATGTCGATCACACTCCCTCGGAAAGTAAAGGCTCCCTGGAAGACAGAGAATACAAACTTCCTGAAAGAATGCTCGGAAACTACAGGCTTCCTTTCTGCACACACTTGTACAACAAGAACATTTTAGATTCCACCTGAATTATACTGACTTTCCTACCCAACTTTTGAGAAAGCCAAAGTAAATTACAGGGGAAAGATTTCTTTTTTCCTCCTAAAAAGGAAAAAAAAAAAAAAAACCACTTCAGCATTTTAATGGAGAGGAAAAACATCAGGCACAAGGTATTGGAAACTGCTCATTTAACTCTTGAAATCAAGCAGAAAACAAGGGTGGAAGGAAAATGTAAATACTTCCTTATATACTTTTTGAAATACTGCATAGAACTGTGAAAACAGTAATATGCTCTGGCAACTGATTATTGTTTGAATAAATAATTGTATGATCAGGTTAAAGGAAGAATGCTTCCTTCTTGTTGTAACGTAATTGAGGGGTAACACTATCATGTGATGAGAAAATGTAAGGTAGGATTATACTGAGTAAAAAGAGATTCTTCTGTTGGTACACACTTCTGCAGAAAAGGATTACAATGACAGGGGACATGAGTCTGTAACAAAAAATCATAGGTCTGTTGAATGGTTAGCCTGGAAAGAACCTGCGATCTCCTGATTTATACCCATTTTACAGATTCACTTTTTAAAAACTTCTGCAAATACTCATTGAATGTGTCATGTGATCTCAGTGCTGTTCTAGATGAGGACTCTGATGCCCAGAGTAGTTAAGTGATTCTCCAAGGTCACTTGACTAGAAAAAGATAGAGCTGGGGCTAGTACTTGGGTCTCAGAACCTCAAGCCTTCATTAGAGACTCCCACATTATGATGATAAGGTAGTTTCTTTAGTGCCTCAGAAAAAGAATTAAATGGACAAAAGCAGTATGAATCTGAAATTAATGTCTGGTTATTCATGTTCTTTTAATCACTTCTTTTTGCTGTTTTCAATTACAGCTCTTCTTAATTCCCCTTCTTTCTACCTGTTGGTAAGGATGCTGGTGTGAGTGGGGAGCAGGTGGTCTTTTGAGACCTGAAGGTGGGTTGGAGCAATTATAATCCTTGGTGATGGTCCATTTGTATATACTGCCATCCATTTCTGGATTTTACAAGTACCACCTCTCAACAGTCAATGTTGTCATTATTCAGGACTTCTGGGATGGTCTTCTGGGCTCGCTGGAAACCCTCATCTCTTATAATAACATAGAGTTATACACAGAATGGAGGTTAAAAAAAATTGGCAGGGAATCCTTAGCAGTGACTTTGAAATTTGTTTTTTAATCAAGAGAGATTTAAAAGTCATTAGGATTAGAATTCTCACCAGTGCTTAGCCTTCTCAGCCCGAGAATGAGAAATCGGATTCATATGAACACCTGTGTTGCCTAAAATCCTATACCGTTAGGTCATTTTCCAATCTGCCCATTTTACTATTTATACTCCCAGATTGGTCTGTGCCTAATTTCATTCAACCTAGAGCTAATTTTAGTTGTCTCTGTGACCATGATGAATTTTATGAATTTGGTTAGAAGTTCTAAGGATATTCTGTGGGTTCGCATGACATGTGAAATCAGGGCATGGGACTCGTGCTGTTTTACAAGGCGAGAGTCTAGTTTTCTTATTGGAGTATATGATGAAGACCAAAGGCCTCCTGGTTATCCATCCACCACGTGGATTCTGGCCCTGTAAAACAGCACGTGTGTCCTGCTAAAGCTTAAATAATAGGCTAATAATAACAGAGATGAAATTAGCCTAGATGCACATGAAATCAAAATGATGCACAGAGAATCAAGATGACTTGGCTTTGGGTCTATGCCATGTTCCCTGACTGCGCTTTGGATTCCACATGCACGTCAAAGATGCAAAATATTTCATGTAGTTTTTCAAGACAGGGAAATCATTTCTTTCTTTTATGTGGCAGATTTTGCTTGACTTCCTTTGTTAAGCTTAAGCTGCAAAACAAAAGTTAACATTTTTGTTCTTTGTTTCCTTCATCTCTGCAAATTGAGGATTTTAGTGTTAAGAATCAAGACTTCCTAATACGAATATCCTCCTGCTTTCACATAGACCTAGAATATGGTTGTTTTTTTAACATATGGATCTACATGTGAAATGTGAACAGTCTGTTGGTCAGGATTTGGAAGAATGCAGCTTGTCAAAAGCTACCTGGATTTGTGGGGAGGGTTTGAAACATTCCTTAATGTGTGATCATAGATAAGTTTCGGTTTCACAGCTCAGTGCGTTTCTGAGAAACTGGTGTACCATTTTGAAAAGAAGAAGGAACTTCCATCAGCTTGAAGATTCAGAATATAATTTGGTTTAAAATGCCTCTAAGTAGTAACTCATTCATGGTTGAAAGCCTTAACAACCATGACTACAACAATAATAATAGCTATAATTTCTTGAGCAGTTGCTAGCCCCAGGACTGTGCCTGGTCCTTGACATGTTTTATTTCAGGTAATGCTCGTAAAAACACTGTGAGGTAGATACTATGACCCATCCCCATTAACAAATTTTTTTTTTCTTTTCAATTGTAGTAAAAACACATAACACAAATTCACCATCTTAACCATTTTTAAGTGTATGAGTCTGTAGTGTTAAGTAGATTCACACTATTGCACAACAGATCTCCAGAACTTGTTCATCTTGCAAAAGTGAAACTCAGTACCATTATAGACAACTACTCTCCATTCCCCCTCCTCCATCCCCTGGCAATGAGCATGTATTCATTTGTTTCTATGAGTATATATCCATCCCCATATTATAACTGAGGAAACCGAGGCATGAAGAAACTTGTATGAGTCTGCCCTGTAGCTCACTAAGTATACAACTGGTATAAAACCTAGCTCTATTTGATCCAAAGCGTGTGCTCCAGGCTTACGCCCTGGGCTTGTGGATTGTTCTCCGAGTGGGTTGCCTGGCCGCCTGAATCAGAATCATCTAATCGGGAGGTGGCTTGTTAAAATGCAGATTCTTGGGCTCCATCCTATCAGGTTTCATGCAGAAGGTCCGAGCGTTGGCCAGGAACCCTCTGATGATTCTAATGCACATTGAAGTTTGAGAAGCTCTGTGTTTTAGCTCTCCTGGGTAGAAATGGTTAGGCTGGCTTTTAAATGGGTACAACACTCCATCCCTGCTCTCAAGGACCTAAAATTTGCAGGAAGAGCATGGAAGCAGGTGCCATAAAACACAACAAGAATTAGAGAAAAAGCCAGTGTTATGAATAGGGAGATCAGAGGCCTGAAAAGGCTGCCCTTCTTACCAATCAGGACCATGTTTGCCATTTCACACTGTTGACTTAGACATGATATTGTATACCTAGTGCATGTCATGCGTTTCCCGCTAGAGCTGTCATGGGGCTCCACCTCTGTGCACAACGGGCTTTTATTCAGCAATTACCTATTGAGTTATTTGTTGTAATAAATCACTAGTCAGCCACTTTGGCACATCTTACTATACACATGTCTATGGCTTCAGCCTCCTGGAAATGAAGAGCAGTATCACCTTTGCATAGGTGTTGTCTGTATAGGAAGGAAAACAATTACTTATTGGGCTGTACTTTTTCTAACATCTGGGTCATTGCCTGGTGGTAAGATAGGCATTGAAATAACATGAACTTTATCAGACCTTGAAGTTCTTCAATGGGGGAGAATCTGACTTACAATTTGATGGCAAAAGGACTGGTGATCATGATGGTGGTGATGACAAGAGTAATAACATTTATGGGAAATATTCATATATTTCACATTTCTGGCACTTAGCACTTGAGAATTTTTTTCTGTAGAGTACTAAAAGAGTACTTTTCTAGCATCCATAAATTGATCTAATGCTTTCCCTACTCATTGTATTTTCAAATAACTTCTTTGGGCATTCAGGGAGTTCTCTTTGGCACATTCCCATGCTGATGTTGCTGTGTCAGAATTAATGATAACATTTTAGCACAGCTGCTATATGCCTTCTTTTTCAGAGTGACACTTTATTTCTTCCTCTATGATGCTAAGTCTTATGCCCAATAAATTATTTACCTCATTACAGTTCCCAGTGAATTCCTAAAACTTTTAGTCAATGTTGGTCACTATGGAATTTGTCTTTAGGACCTTGGTTATACCCTCTTCTTGCTAAAATCTCTCAGGCCCAGCCCTGACTTCCCATCACATAGCTCTTCCTTACTCCCAAAGTTAACTGCTCCTTGATACCCCTCAAAATGGGGAATATGATGCTCTCACAGAGACACAGATGGGCACTGTTTCATTCTTTCTTTCCTGTTTTTCAAACTATCACACTTGGAGTCCTTGGACAGGCCCTAGTATGGCCTTGGTCCCCTCACAATTTGGTTAAGGGGTAAGGATTTAAGTTTGGTAACCAGACACCCAAAGCTCAGTGTGGAGGCTGCCTGGCTCCCAAGCTGGCTAGTAGAGGTCTTGCTGAGAGAGTGCTGGGATACCTTCCTAATTGGGACCGTGATGTTATTTTTCTAAAATATCAGATAAGATCATCCATTTGCTTAAACCTTGCTCTGGTTCCCTTTGGACTTACAAAATCAAGTGCAGTCTCCTTAGCTGGGGGCCCAGGGCTCCCCACGGTGAGACCAGGCCCTGCCTCTGCTCTCAGCTTAGTCTCCTGCCAGTCTACACATACACACACACCCCTCTACACCTCTCCCACAGGCTCTGCTCTCTGCTCTGATAGTCCTTTCCCTGTCTGTCCAGCAAACTGCTCCTTATGCTTCAAGATGTCAGAAGATGTCATGTCCGTGAATCAGTTTTAGACTTCCCTGGTTGGGCTCATTTCTCTCCTTCCTTCCCTTATACATCCTCCTGTAACAACACTTGTCACATTCTACTGTAATTATCTGTTTACGTCGCTGTCTTTCTCACTGTGTTGGGAAGCCCTTGAGGACAGGGGCTCATATATCTTTGAATCCCCAGAATCCAGCACCCAAAACATGGTTCTGAAGCTTGTGTCTTTTGTGGGGCCTGAGCTGGGTGACTGAGGG